ATAGAGATGGGATCCGTCTATCCGTTCAGATAAACCGGAGTTTATCTGTATCTGTCCATCTGTCTTTAACTAACTCCGGCGGATATTCGGATAAACCGAATAAAAAGTTTTATTAAAAATTGGTAAAATCGAATAGGTAGTTCTAATTATAATTTCGCAATAATATTGAATTTTGAATATTCCAAACCATAGTATATATTGGACTATAATCAATATTTTATATAGCTAACAACTTATAGCGATTGAGAATTTTATTAATTTATGACTATGGCAGTATTTGCTCGCCTGTCACATAAGTTTCAAAATACTAGCCTAATAAATGTAGTAGTATTTTTGCACAAAAAAAAAAAAAACTACATTTTAAATTTTTTTATTAACTCGCATTTCAATTTTCATCTGTCACTTTATTGATAACCACTGAAAATATGTTGTAATTTGTTACGAACCTAAAAATGTATGAAATAAATTTCGAATATGCAATACTTACAGTGTATTTAATGCATAGTATTTTTGGACTTCGTTATTTTGGAAATATGTCACTGACTAAATTATAATTTCTTTTTAAAAAGAGAAGTTGTTCAAAAACTTGTGGTTTAAGATTGGTGCGTTTTGAAGACATAATATTTCCAGCATCTGAAAAGAGACGCTCATTAGGTGTTGAAGTTGCAGGGATAGAAAGGTATTTTTGAGCAAGCTTGATGATGGTGGGAAATCTTTCTTGATTATTTATCCACCAACTAAAAGGATTATGTGTTGGAGAAATTTGTGGTTGAGCAAGGTAATCAGTTACTTCATCTATTTGAGGATGGTGTAGCTGAAATATTCGAGCAATAAGTGAGTTATCACTTTTAGTTGTTTGCTGAAATTCTTCATGATTAGATTGTAGGCTTGCAACTATATTTCTTAATGCTTTTATTGTTTTTAATTTTTTATTTTCAGAAACAAAACTAAGAGATTTACACTGGGGGTCTAATAATGCTGCTAATGTACCAACTTCGGAAGGAACAGAATAATAATGATGCAAGCTTTTATTTAAAGCAACTTTGATCTGTTTGATAAGCCCATTACAATTTTGGGGTGTATTAATTCGAATTCGTCGAGTTCCACTAGTTATTTCATCTACCTCCTCATCTGCATCTTCATAAATAATATCATCATCGAATGCAGTTGCACTTGATTCAAAGTCGATCATTACATAAGTATCATTGTTATCATTTAATGCAAGGTCAGAGGCTAAAATCGAAATTACATAAAACATAAAGCTAATTGTTGAATAACTACTTCCTCCTAAAAATTCTGTTGCTTCAGCAAATGGCTTTAATATAGGAAGAAGTTCTTTAATAGTATCCCATTCGGTATTAGTCAAATTAATCTTTTTAAGTTGCTTTACTTCCCATTTTGATACACGATCAGTTTCCGTTTCAAGTATGCTAATCATTACATTTATTGCAGGTCATAACTTTATTAATCTCTCCCATGCAAGATATGATGAGTTCCATCGAGTTTTTGTATCAGCAATAAGCCGTAAATAGTGATCTGTCTTACGTAAAACCTAAAAATTATTAATTGGTAATTAGTTGACTAATAAGTTAATAATTTAATATTTATGCATAATATAAATAAAACAAACCTGATCTTCGGATATATTTATTTTTAATTGAACCTGTTCTAACCTTTCACTTTGTTTTGGACTCATAAAAAAACTAATCAACCTTCTAGCCCAAGCAACAAGTATTTCACAAGGAATAAGCCCTTTTCCAACCACAAGCTGTAAAGTGTGAGCGGTACATGGTATCCGAGTTAATTCAGGTAAAAACTGTACTGCCTTAACCATGTTACTTCCATTATCAGTAGTAATACAAAAAATTTGCCCATCTAAATTCCACTCATTAATAATATCATCTATTATATTTGCAATAGATATACCTGTATGCGGATATGGTAAATATCTAATAGCTAAAAGCAATTCATATAATTTAAGATTTTCATCCAAGTATGAGCATGTAACTCCAATGTACCCATTTTTTGATCGTGCTGTCCACATATCAGTTGTTAGTGAACCATAAAAAAGTGTCTCCGAAAGTTTATCCATAAGATGTTGCTTCGTATGTGTAAATGCTTGTGACAATAAAATTTTTATAGCTTTTTTAGATGGAAGTTTATAATTAGGAACCACTTCTTTCATTAATTCAATAAATCCATCATCCGTAATTACTGAAAGAGGTTGTTGATCTTTACATATAAAGGACACAATCTTGTTATTCAAAATTTGCTTATGAATTAAACTTATTTGATTATGTTCAACGTTGGATACATTATCAATGTTGTCTTTATGTATACCATGTGCTGACTTAAGATGATACCAAAAATTACCTGTCGACTTTGCAGTATTGAAATTTACTTCCTTTCCACATGGAACATATCTATTTTTACCAAATACAGTTACTTTATATCTTCCGACTTGTTGGATCTTGTCTTTAGTGAAATAAAGCCACACTTTACTTATCGAATTATCCTCATCAGGTAAAGATAAATTGTCAAATTTTCTTTTTTTTGAACTTTGAGTATCGTTACTTGAGTCACTTTCATGAATTTCATCCATGGTTAACAAAAATAAGACAAAAAAAAGTTTTTTATGTTTTATTTTAAATACATATAAATTTTAGAAATATATATTAAACTTATATTTAATTTAATCTATTAGACTTTTATTACTGTCGTCATACTGTCATAATTAATTATCAGATAACCGGATAATCTGGTCTAATTATCTGAAGTTAAAATTTATCCGAATAATTATATCATATTCGGATTATCCGAACTGGTCAGATAAAAAGTTCCATCTCTACTTAAATAAGATTCATCAATTATTTTGGATATTCGTTGCTTTTTATTTATCTGAGATGATGGTGATTTATTTTGTCTTTTTGTTGAAGAGCTAGCTTTAGATTGCCGTTTTGCTATTTGTATAAATAAATACAATTTAATATTGTAAATAAAATATATAATAAAAAATAAAATTTAAATCAAATAAAAAAGTACTTACTACTACGTTTAATTGCCAATTTTTTTCTTGCAATGCCACTTTTATCCTGGCCACTTATATTAACGTTGTAATTGGCTTTTGTATCAATCCTTTTATAATTGCGCATATCTAATTTTCGTCCTCTAAAAAAAAAATTAATAATAAGTAATAAAAAATATATTTATATACTATAAACTAACCTTATTATCGCTGTCATTAGTTTGAGTTGTTTGCCTTCACGATTGCTCATAGCATGTGCTGCTTCAGCACAATTTGTGCTGTTTGGTGCCGCATACCACATATTATGTGGAATTTTTGAAATATTTGGATTTAGTGATGCGATAATATAAGGTTTTCTATAATATTGAACCCAATCTATTTTATTTAATAACAATAAAATTTTTAATTCAAATTATTTAAATTAATACTATATATTAATTATAAATTAATAAAACTTACCCGTAAGATTATTATTTAAGATTAATAATTCATCAAAGATTAATTCTACTTCTTCAGCCGTCACGGTTAATAATAATTCCATTTTAGCTTTAGTATTATCTTCAAATCGTTTTTCATGCAATTTTCTATATAAAATAAATTATTAATATATGTATATTAATGTAATTATTACTATTAATTAACTTACCGTTTATAATGCACTTGACAAGATTTGAAAATATGAATTAAATGATCCTCCCACGTAAAAGAATTATCAATTAAAGCTAAAGCTTCGCCTAATCCTATAAGCTGTGCTATATCAAGATCACCGATGATACAACTCCAACCTTCTTTATGAATATGATTAAATTTTGTGGGTTCACTAGTAAATTGTTTAACAAGATCGAACAATGCATTAAACATGCGTTGATATGCAATAGTAGTTGCTTGATTTGTAAAAATTCGCGCAAAAGTTAAAACTAATACCAATATATAAATTAATCATAGTTAATATTATAAAAAATATAATACGCATATATATATATATAATACAATACTATAATAGTAAAAAATACTTGTATTATATTTTTTATCATAGTAATTAATTTCGAATTCATTAATTTCACCAGCGACTCTTTTAAATGATAGATCGATTTCAAAATAATCACATTTAGTCCATTTTTGAATTTGAACTTGCATAGTACAAATAATTATTATATGTCCGTCATTAAAAAAATCTAAATAAATTAATAAATTAAATAATTAAAATTAAATTAAAAAATAAAAATACATTTTCATATATATAACGCTTACTTAATCGTTGAATATAATTTTGAAAATTCTCAATATTGCATGAAAAATTATATACAACCTCTAATAAATCTTGACCGAATGGATGTTTCTCCTTTTGGATTTTATTTACACAATACCGTAATTTGTTGGTATCATTAAGCGAAGCATGAACTTCGCATAAATTATCAATACCAAAATAAGTTTTAATTAAATTGCCTAAAATAAAATAAATAATTTAATAAAAAAATATATTAAATATATATTTTAATTTATATTATTATTTAAACTTACCAGTTACGATATGCGTAGGAGTTACATCCAATAAATCTTCATTGGCTTGCTTAACAAGTGCTTGCAATCTTTGCTTAATATAATTTGGGGTTCACGTAGGAGGAGGTGGTGGATGTGTGTGTAATCCTTTACATATAAGAATTACAAATGGACATGCTTTAAGGTTTAATGGTATAATTTTGTAAAATTCAACTTTACACGATTTTTTTTTAATTTGACCACGACATATTTTATTTCCTGATCGATGAGGATAAGCTAATAATAAAATATAGAATATTACTATAAAAATCATAATCAAAATATTTAAAATTTTATAATTATTTTTATTATTACTTACGACAATATTTTTTTTTTGAAGAATTCGAATATACAATATAACATTCGTTTGTAGATTCGTTATCAATATGATTAGCATTAGGCTATAAATTATAATTAAAGATTAATTAATTAATTAATATCAATATAAATAAATTAATTAATATCAATATAAATAAATAAATTAATTAATTAATTTACCTCATAAGTACCATCGAATAAGTTACGCAAAAGCTCAATATTAATATCAGAAGAAATGCGTATAAAACGATGATATTTTTCTCCTATTTTCCAATTAATACACCCAATAAAATAGGTAGATTCAGAATTATCTCGACGTGATAAGCGACGTAAAACAGGGTTGCCTTCACATAATTGTTGGTTTGTTTGAAATTTGCACGGTGTTTCAAGAGCAGCAAGATAAAGTCTAAAAATAAAATTTTAATTTAGTATTATATTATAGTATTATATAAAAACTTTCTAATTTTATTACTTACTCAAAAGTATTGTTATTTATATTACTGGATGAAATTTCTTGAGTTATTCGCATCATCAGATCAGAATTAATATCGACACATTGGTGTGTTTGATTACATAATTCATTTGCGGCAAATTCACAGAGTTTTGAACCTTGACAGGTTCGCATTTCACGTTTTACTTCGACACCAAGATATGGACACATAACTTTATATTCACCACTGGGCTTGCCAATTGAATATTGAATCTAAAAATAAATAAATAAAATATAATTATTATAATAATATACAATCGGATTAAAATATATAAATTTTAAATTTTACTAACATCTTTGAATGCAGCTAACAGTTCTTCCCAACCTTCAACATTATAAATATAAGCAACGCCTTCAAGACTTGTTTCAGGATATTCTATAGGCGTTAAAGTATGATAAATAACCTTCGATGCTAATTCTTTAGTAAAATAGGTTATTGTATCTTCATTTAAATCGCATGCAATATTATCATCAATCTCTTGAAGTTCATCATCAGAAGAAATTAATACACTTTCATTTTCAAAGGATTCTAGATCTTCTTCGTAAATAGTTTCAACCTCATCAATAATATGAAAGTCAGGATCATCGCTAAAATGGAGGTCAGGATCATCGTTAATATAGAGGTCAGAATTATCGTTAGTTTGAAAGTAAAGATTATTCATTTCGAGTAAACACGAACAAAAATATGCGTTTTACATCGGTAGCCTTTAATTATTTAAAGAAAAATCTTACGTACAACGTACGTACATACACTATCATACGATTATTCGAAATATATCGGCATTATTAAATTGCAAAAATATTACATATTAAGTTTTATGCCGAAATGCTTGATTTACAATTATACTGTTGCGGGGTTAAATACTAATGGGTTCTTTGTTGTAAGTCTAATTCAAGGGAACCTTCGTTTGAAATACTGTCTTTAATAAATATATTGCTTTTATGAATAAAATTATATATGCACGTATCAAAAATATTTATTTTTTACCTTTTATATTATATACTAATTACATCATTTACGTCATTAATTTTTTATACTTCGCTTTGCTACCTTATACTTTTTTATTTTTAATTAATCACTAATTTATCACCCATCACGCTATATTATGCATCCAACCGATTACATTTCCCTACGATCATCCCAAGCTTAGTACTTATATCACGTGAAATGATCGCTTTACATTTTTCGTCGCACAGGTATACTTACAAGTATGACCGTCTTCATACTTACTATACTTATAAGTATGGACATCTTTTCTACTTATAAGTTTGATAGGTATGATTTTTAAATATACGTATGAGTATAAGAACTTAAAGTTGCCCTACGCTACTCTTTTTATGTTTCATACTATACTACTTTATATATTACTC